GATAGAGGGTTAGTACCTTCATTGACTTACACTTGGGGCCAACTAGAATTTCCAGGTTATTCATAGGATGAACCTTCCTATTATATACCGTCATAGGTTTACTTGTTAACAGGGTTTTAATTTTTGATCTTAGATTGTGAATTTTAGTTTTAAAAATTTGACGTGATTAAGTTAGTCTCTGCTCATTCTCTTCAGTATTGGCAGTAGTGGGGTTTGAACTCAGGACTTTTCACTTGCAAGGCAGGTGCTCTTCCACTTGAGCCATGCCTTTTTCTTCAGTATTAAGAATCTTGTGATGAAATTTTTTTTTAAACTGTAAAAATGTTCTGTTTCTGTTTCTCACCATTCTTCCACCCACTAATTTCAGCATCCATCAACAGATCTTGCCTCCAACAATTATTACTGCAATGTTTGCCTAATGGTGATTTTCCATTTCCATTGCTCCTTCCACATTTGTTAATTGGAATTATATGGCAAAGCAGTATGTCCCTTTTCTCCGATTTATTATTCATATCAGTGCTGACCAATGAACATCTATCATATTGTATGGGCTATAATGTAAGATTATCATTATTTTCTTTCTCAAACTGTCCCTTTATTGGCCATTGGGAACTCTAATTTGGCTCCTGGCTCCCTTTTGACACTCTCCCTTCCTTTGGGAGCACATTCTTGTTTTGTGGCACTAGAAACTGCTCTAGATTCTTCTAATATTTTCTCAGTCTCAACTCCAGAACCAATTAGGTTTTCAAGAAGCCCTATATATTTTTTTTCCATTGCAGACTATTTAGAAACAAGTGTGTAGATGCTAAATTTTATTATGCTACTGGGGTATCATTGCTCCTAGATCCTCTAACAAAAAGAGCTAGTAAGTGTGCCTATGCTTCAGCACATCTCTATTCATCTTTATCTATCCTTTTGTACACACACACACACACACACACACACACACACACACACACACAGAGCCATGAGTCAGTACCAACACCTCAAATTCCAATCCAATACCACAGTGGTCACTTTGGTCTCCCCGCCTTTCCTTGTTTATAACTTCTTTTTCCAACAGGGACAAATCTGACTCTCATTATTCACAATTGATTTGCTTATTTGTTCAATTTCAAAATACAGATAAAAGTTTCACAATTGCTAATTTATACCCCTGTGAAAAACAAATGTACTAACTAGGGCACAATATTTGTATATAGTTCCTTTTTGTCTTTAGCCTTACCGTACAGTCAAAAGACTATTTTCCAAAGTTACTTAAGTGAGTTCTTTTCTTCTCCACCCAGTTTGTTGTGGTTATATGCTAATCATTATAATGTACTCTGGTTAGTTTGTTCCTGCTTTATTCTGTTTTAGCTTGCTCCACACCCTGGCTGACTGTACATGTGTTTGTATATATGTGAGATATTACCATGGTTATAAGAGTTGGAGCTATATACAAGGTATCCTCAAAGAAATGTCACTCTTTCCCCATTACTGTTCCATTTCTTTTCTCCTATTTTTCCCATCCTCTTCTCACCCATTCCACGTAGGTACCCAAACTTCATCTTTGGTTTATGGTCACTGCATTTAAAAAAAAGAATTAGCAGATACATGTGCATTTTCTTTTACTCTCTTGTTTTATGGAGACACTGTTCACAGTCTGTTAAATTCATCCTTTAAAATGTTCAATTTAATGGTTTTTGGTATAATCACAGTGTCATACAACTATCATCATAGTATCATTTTAGAACATTTTCATTTCCTGAAAAGACAAACCTGAGCCCCACTTCTCTGCCCCTTCAGTGCCAGGCATTCACTAGTCTGCTGTGTTTTTATGAATTTGCTTGTTTGGGTATTTCATCTAAAGAGATCATACAATATGTTGTCTTCTGTGTTTGGCTTTTTTTTTCTACTTAGTAGAACAAACCATGTTATAGCATGCACCAGTACTTCATTCCTTTTTATGGCTGAATAATATTCTGCTGCATGGCTGGGCTCATTTTGTTTGGACATTCATAATCTGATAGAAATCTGTGTTTTTAGACAATTATACTATAAATGATGCTGTTATAAATACTCATGTACAAGTTTTTGTGTGAACACTTTTCAGTTCTCTTAGGTATAGATGTAGGAGTGAAATTACCAGGTCTTATGGTGACTATATTTAACTTTTTGAGGAACTTTGAAGCTATTTCCCAAAGTGGAAATATTCCCATGGGTTTGAGTGTTTAAACCTCTCCACAACCTTCCCAGTACTTGTTATCCACTCCACCTTTTTGGCTTTATTATAGCCACCCTAGTGGGTGTGAAGTGGCATCTCATTGTGTGTGGTTCACACTTCTCCAACGAGCGATGATGCTGACTATCTGTTCATGTGCTTTTTAGTCATTTATATATGGAGAAACGTCTAGTCAAATTCTTCACCCATTTGAAAACTGGGTAGTTTTTTTTCCTTCTTTCTGTACCTTTGTCTTGAACTCAGGGCCTCCACCTTGAGCCACTCCGCCAGCCCTTTTTGTGTTAGCTGGCTTCGAATTTCTATCCTTCTGATCTCTGCCTCCTGAGTAGCTAGGATTACAGGTGTGAGCCACTGGAGCCTGGCTGGATTATAGAGGTCCAACTTTCTTCTTAGGCATGGGGGCACTCAGTTGTCCCACTGCCATTTGTTGAAAAGACCATTCTTTCCATATAGAATTATCTTGAGTAATCTTCTGAAAAATCACAAATGTGAGGGAAGATCCCTTAATGTTTAGACTTCACAGTCTCCTACAGTTCATTATAAATTCATTGTAAGTTCATTATAAATTACCTAGTCTCAGGTATTCTGTTTTAACAGCAAAAAAGTACTAAGACATTTTATGTATTAGGGAGACAAGTCCTTTGTGGTATATGTTGCAAGTAGTTTCTTCCAGCTTTCCAGTTGTCTTTTTGTTCTCTGTGTGTTCTTTTTTTCTACCAATTTAAAATACTATTATGAAATTCATCAAGCTATTATTACCACTGGATTTCTGAATCACAGTGTGAAAAGCTTTCCCTCGTTTTGAGGTTACAGAGGGCTTGTCTTGCTTTCATTTCGTACTTATATAGTCTCAGCTTTTATACTACATACCTAGTGCATTTGGCTAATTTTCTTATTCTACATGTGTAAGGGATATAATTTTTTTCAGCGTGACTATAAAATTGTCCTAATACCATTTATTTAAAAAATGTTTGCCCCAGTGACTTGAAATATCATCTTTATCAAATACTAAATTTCCATATGGCTTTTGGCCTATTTCTGTGCTTTCTCTTCTACTCTACCTCCCATAAAGTACCAGTACCCTACTGTTTCAACTACAGAGCTTTACAGTATGCTTTAATGTCTGAAGGGATAATGTCTGTGGTCTTTCATTTCTAGAGTTTTCCTAGCTATTCTTTCTTCTTTTTTGCCAGTATTGGGGTTGAACTTAGGGTGCTAGTCAGGTGCTCTACCACTTGCGCCAGTCAATCAGCTCTTATTTGTGTTAGATATTTTCAAGATAGGGTCTCTGGAACTATTTGCCAGGCTGGCTTCAAAACTCCATCCTCCTGATCTCTGTTTTCTGAGTAGCTAGGATTACAGAGTGAGCCACTGGTGCCCAGCTCCTAGCTATTCTTGAATGCTTGTTTTTTTTTTTTTTTTCCAAACTTTTGAAAGTTCATTAATTATATAAAACTCACTAATTTTCACATCAACTTGTAAAACTAAATTCCAGCCTGCAATATATTTAAAAGGTTAATACCTTTACCCATTGAAAGGTTAGTGTTAAAAAAATCAATCACTGGATTACTTGTCGGGGTGGGGAATCTGATGTGTCACCATCTTCTCTCTGTCCAATACAGGTCAAATGACCTGTTCTAGAAAGGTCACTTTGGGCCATTTTCTCATCACCTGCATTTTCATTTTTTAAAACATTTTTATTAGTACATGATGGTTATGCAGGGAGTTTCGTTTTTGCACTCTGGTTTGGTTTAAACCTCCATTTTTTCTCCCTCATCCTCCTTCCCCTTCTTAAGGTGACTTCCACAGGTCACAGTGTTCCATATTCATACGTGTATAGAAAGTACCTCAACCATATACACTTTTACTCTCTCCTTAACATACCTGTTTTACATTTCTGACCTTCATTTTTCCAGCGTCTGTTCATTGTTACTGGAGTTTTGCTTTAGTACTTTACCTATAAATATATTGTACTTTAATCAGCTTAACCCTATTACTCTTCCTTACCCTTTCCCCCTATCCTGTATCGTTCAACAGTTTTCAGTGTTTCGTTGTGTCGTTTCTACACTGGTGTGATGTATTTCAATTTTATTCACTTTGTCTTTTATTTTTCCCTCCTCCCCTAGTCTCCTCTAATATTCTCACTTTTGAAACCTGCTCTTTCTATATGTGTGTATGCTAATGCTTGTATGTGTAATTGGGTCTATCTTCAACATAGGAGAGAAAACACGCAACCTTTGTCTTTCTGGATCTAGCTTACGAAGAGCTTTTATTGTAGGAGCAAGTGCCAGTTACTCTTCAGTGACAACGTTGTTGACTGAGACAACAATGAACAGAGCAATCTACTTTGAGTCCTAAGTTCTCCAGGGGTGAGGAGACATCTTCTGTAGGAAGGACAAGTCACCGGCTGCACCTGTCCAGTGCATGGACAATGATCCCACTGAGAAACAGAGGATGTCACTTTGCGGTAAAAGGGCATTTACACTTTAACCGGTAGGGGCAAAGTTCCCCACTGGTATCCTGTCCTTCTCCATCCCCCCTGCCTGCCCCTTCTCTTTAAGCCCCGCAGCCGGGTTCTGCACAACCCCAGGCGATGGTGAGTACGGCATAGGGGCAGCGCGGGTCTCGGAAGGACCCTTCGCGGTGGTACGGCTGACACCGAGGCTGGGGGAGGGGCGGCCAGGGCCCCCGCCAGGCTCTGCCACGTGCTGGGGGGCGGGGTCAGACCACACGCCGGTCCCGGCGGGAGGCGTGCTGGGGGCGTGGCCGCGATCCGGAAGGCCCCAGGTTGGCTGGTCTTGCCGGGAGCAGCCAGGGGCGGACGAGATGGCGGTGGCAGCTGTGAGCGTCGCCAAGCGGAGCCTGAGGGCCGAGCTGAAGCAGCGTCTGCGGGCCTTGAGCGCTGAGGAGCGGCTGCGCCAGTCCCGTCTCCTGACCCAGAAGGTGCGCCGGACTCCTGGGTTGCTTGAATGCCAGTCGGCCCGGCTGGCGTCCCGGCTGGCGCCCCGGGAGCGCGCACGTACTCTCGGACACGCAACGTCATCACGGGCGCGCGTACGCACTCGGCGCGCGCGCGCCCCTCCAATCCCGATCCCTTTTGCGCTATGGCGGGCGAGGGGCTGAGGAGAGTAGGCCTGCGGAGTAGGGCTGTGCTGATGTTAGTTTATTCACTCAGATGGGATTATATTTCCTTCTGAGGGAGGAAGGCATCGCTGGGTGCTTTAGTAATGTAGAGAAGACAGGTTCTTGGCCTTAGTCTCCAAATCTTAGTCTCCAGTTTAAAATTTGGCGAATTCAGTCACATACGCGTACCACTTAGTAGCAGCCCACACTTTTCTGTGGTCTGGCCGTTGGATGTAGGGGTGAAAAAGATGATTGTTGCCCTAGAACAGCAGAGAATCTAGAAGAGGACCCATGTAAATAGTACATTTCAATGCAGCCAGAATAGGATGAACACCAATGTGTGACAGCCTGGGGGAGAGAATTGGAGAGCTTTCTTTAGGAAGGTGTTGGGGATGACTTTTGCAGGGCAAGATGAATTTTGTCAGGTGAAGGAAAAGACGGGCTGGGGACATGCACAGCGTTACTTAGGAAGGGCAGAGTATATTTAAATTGTGCACTGGTTTTAATCTGGCTGCATGCTTTTTAGCTGGTTATAGTGTTGGACAATTCCCCGTTCAGAACCTCGGGTTCCTTATCTACAAACGGTGATGTCACCTTGTAAGCCTGTGTGCGAGTTAAGCGGAATGCGTACACTGAGTGCTTTACGTTTTGGGTGTACGTTGGTGGCATTGGGCTCATGGGTCGGGGAGACCATTCAGGGTCTGTTGTGCTATCAGGTGAGGTAATGACGATGTAAACTAGAGGGTGGGCGGAGGAGATGGGGAGAGAAGGTAGAGGGAGGCCGCAGTGAGGCTGGGCTTGGCAGTTGATTGATAGAGGTTAGAGAGCACTGGAAAGGGGGCTGTGATGGAATAATGGTGTCTAACATCGCTAAGCATAAGGAATGTAGGAAAATAAAGAGTTCAGTTTGGTGTCTTTGTGCATAGATTTTTACTTTCTTTTTTTGAGATGGGGTTTCACTGTGCTGACCTTAAACTCGGCTCAGATGATCCTCCTGCCTCAGCCTCTCAAGTAGTGTCTGTAGATTGCAACTTGTAAAATCCAGGTGGAAATACAGCTATATAGAGGCAGAATTGCTGACGGCAGTAGAATGACAACTAAGCTGGAATCAAAGGAGGAGAATAATTGTAAAACAGACCCGTGATGCTCAGGGATAATGCATTCTGTCTCATACAAATATGCACCTATAAGCAGCTCTTATGTATGTGATGGATTTTACTCTATTATATTTCACTTGAAAATACTGATTGTAGCTTGTAACTCATGACCAACCAATGGACCATGTTCTGAAACTGACTAGCATAGTATTTTGTCTCAGTGAATACTCAATAAACATTAAATGATATCTTTCCCTGAAACTAACAGTACCTTTAGTTAGGTACTTTTTGTGCCTTTTTGGCACAGTACCTTTTTATAATTTAGAGACTTATTGGAAAAATAATGTAAAGAGATTCTGCTATATGCTGTATCTTGACTCTAATTAAGATGAGAAAATTAGTTGTCCTCTATTCACTTTGTCTCCTTCCAATCTCCTGCCAGTTTCTGACACCAATATTATTATATTGTCAAGGTTTATATTAAACTTTCTTCTGTAATTGTGTTGAGTCTACTGAGCAGTAGTTTTAACTTCCAAACTTGAAGTCCAGGAAATAGTAGTCACATATTTTTATTACATACATAGTATTCACTGCTGTATAATTGGAAAATGTAAGGAAAGGGTATATAATTATATGTCACTAGATATGTGTATTTCAAGTGTTAATACCAACTATCTAATTCCTTTACCCTCAAACCATTCCATATTTTACTTTGTTCACATTTGGACCATATATCTGATTTAGTCTGAATTTTTCCAGGAAGTTTTGATTGTTTTCATTTTTGGCAAAACAAGAGTATAACTTTTATCTTACCAGTAGGTTCTTTTTCATTTTGTCTGTTAACACATAACTACCTTTAACTTAGGGCCTCAAGATAGCTAGGGAGACACTCTACCACTTGAGTCTCTCCACCAGCCATTTTGGTGTTAAGTATTTCTGAGATAGTTTCGAAAACTGTTTGCTGAACTGGCTTCGAACCTTAATTCTCTGATTGCTGCCTCCTGAGTAGCTGGGATTACAGGCATGAGCCACTGGTGCTTGGTTTGCTGCAGGATCTTGCTGTGTTGCTCAGGCTAGCCTGGAACCTGGGATCCTCCTGCTTCAGCCTTCTGAGTGCTCGGGCATTAGAGGTTTGCACTACCACACCCAATTTATTATTATTTCCTTTGTTCCTTTCTAGAATTCTTGTTAAATCGATAATAAAATCCTAGATTGTTCTATGTCTTGACATTTTTTAATTGATTTTTCTTATTTTGTCTTTTTTCACCTACTCTATGGTTTCCTCCTAAATTGTTTTTATTTTGCCAATCACAGTTTTAACTTCCAGTAATTATTCCTTAAATCTCTGATGGCTTCCTTCCCATAGGTGTCTGTTGATGTCTTATGGATGCAATTATTTTTTTGAGTTTGTCTGAGATAACTAATTAGAATTTCTTTTTTTTTTTTATTATTCATATGTGCATACAAGGCTTGGGTCATTTCTCCCCCTGCCCCCACCACCCACTCCGCCCCCTCTCTCTCCCCCCAGCCCCTTAATACCCAGCAGAAACGATTTTGCCTTTATTTCTAATTTTGTTGTAGAGAGAGTATAAGCCATAATAGGAAGGAACAAGGGTTTTTGCTGGTTGAGATAAGGATAGCTATACAGGGAGTTGACTCACATTAATTTCCTGTGCGTGTGTGTTACCTTCTAGGTTAATTCTTTTTGATCTAACCTTTTCTCTAGTTCCTGGTTCCCTTTTCCTATTGGCCTCAGTTGCTTTTAAGGTATCTGCTTTAGTTTCTCTGCGTTAAGGGCAACAAATGCTAACTAATTTTTTGGGTGTCTTACCTATCCTCACCCCTCCCTTGTGTGTTCCCGCTTTTATCATGTGCTCAAAGTCCAATCCCCTTGTTGTGTTTGCCCTTGATCTCTGTTCCATGAATAACTTATTATTTCGGTTTCCTACTGGGTCATTTTTCTCTCCTTTTAATATTTTTAATCCTTTTATTTTCCATTTTGGCTTTCCAGAATATTTGATGATCCTTTATTGTCTGTACATATTTGTGTATGAAAGTGTATTAGCCAAAGGAGGTTTCCTCTGCCTTTCATAGTCACTTGGTTGGGATTTATGGGAGGAATTGATGTTCCCTGTCCTGCGCCCATGTTCTCGGTGTCATGATCTGCTGCTTTGTCTTGGATGAGTCCTCTGTCTTGCAGAAATTAGTCAGATCCCTCTTTTGTTCTTGGTATAATAATGGATTATCTTTTTTCAGGCTTTGTTACAAATGTCAAGTAAATGGGATTTGAGGAAGGCAGATAAGTGTGTAAACATAGTCTCACACTGAATCTCAACTGATATTTCTTACTACTTATTCAGCTCTCAATTTTCTATATTCTGCTTTAAAAAGAACAAGAAAGACACTTAAGTTTCTCATGTGGTACCAGGATGCCAAAGCCTCAGGCCGACTGCTTTTCACATTCCCATTTGCTTTGCTTGTGTCAGGTCTCGTAGCAGCTGCACAACTTTTGAGAAAGGAGGAGTTGGCACCCTTAGCATGGTTTAATGTGCTCAGTTTCTTTGTTCCCCTTTTATTAGGAATGACTTGACTTTCTGTACCTGTATCTTCCTGCCCGTCATATTTATATGCTGCTTTTACGCTTTTCTTCTTAAAGCTTTTAGGACAGGGGAGAACAGAAAAGGAGGGGAGGAAAAAGGGGAGCTAAGGCCCAACTTCTGTTTCTAGGCAAGTTCCTGAGATGGCTGACTTTTTCTTTTTTTTCACAGCACTGGAATTTGAACTCAGGCTCAGTGCTTGCTAAGCAGGTACTCTTGCCACTTGGGCCACTCTACCTGCCCTTTTTTGTGATGGATTTTTTCAAGATAGGGTCTCCTTGTTTGCCCAGGGCTGGCTGTGAATCATCCTTCTGATCTCTGCCTCCTGAGTAGCTAGGATTACAGGTGTGAGCTACTGGAACCTGGTGATTTCTGACTTTATGATAAACAAAACTTAGTCCCCTTCTGCCAGATGAATGATTCGGCTGAATATGGATTATTTCACCAGGACCCCCACCCACCCATTTAGTGAACATTTTAACACTTAGTTGAATAGAATGGTGTTAGAGCTAAGAGACAGTTATATGTTTTCCACTTTAGTGAGCTACCTAGATGTAGTTTGGGATACTACATTTAGGGGACATAAATAATTAGTGATCAATTCACAATGCAGAATTATGTTTTAAATTGTATATTAGCTCTAAATATAGAAAGTTCTGTAGAGGTTAGAAAAAGTTAGGATTTGAGTTGGGCATCAAATGGGTAGAATTTAAGAGGAGAGAAGCCTGACAATCCAAGGACTGGAGTAGCTTGTGGGAGCCAAGGTTCAGAGATGAAATAAAGCCAAGACTCTGGGGGAAGTGTGTGAAATGATGAAACTACTGTAATGGGTAGGTAGGGATCAAGCCTGGAATTCTGCAGATAGACAGTGTGTCCCCTCCATGATTAATGAGTTTTTACATCTACCAAAGTAGGTGAGCTACAAGGGGCAAAGAGATCAGACAGGTAAGTCAGGTGTCAGGACTTAGCATTGTCCACTCTGGTTTTGGAAGGTTAGGTTGGAGGAAGCTGAAAGAAGAGACAAACTGTTAAGGGGAGTTCCTAGTGTTTAATATCAGAAATTATAATTGCCATAATTTCCCATTTAGGTGATTGCCCACAGGCAGTATCAAAATTCCAAAAGAATTTCCATCTTTCTGAGCATGCAAGATGAAATTGAGACAGAAGAGATCATCAAGGACATTTTCCAACAAGGCAAAACCTGCTTCATTCCTCAGTACCAATTCCAGAGTAATCACATGGATATGGTGAAATTAGCATCACCTGAAGAAATTTCTTTACTTCCCAAAACGTCCTGGAATATTCATCAGCCTGCTGAGGGAGATGTTCGGGAGGAGGCCTTATCAACGGGTAAGTGTGTTGGTGTTAGAATTGATGTCTTAAGATACTGTCAGACTGTGATGAGATCTGTTATGTTTGCGTCAGTGGGAGTTATTTTTCCTATAGAGATGAATTTGTATTTCATTTATATTATAAGACACTTACATTACCTGATTTAGGACATGATGCCCTCTGTAAGTTGTGAAATATAAACTGTAACATAAAGTATCAATGTGTTGTTGCCTTCTCAGGCAACAGTGTGGTTCAGTTATAGTCTGTGGGGCTAATGAATATTATTATTAATGCTGATGAGCATTTTTATCTTCAGTTTGGAACTCTCTACTACCTTCTTGACATCTCTACTTGGATGTAACATGGCCATAGCAAATACAACATGTTCCAAACAGATTATGTGCTCCTTAACCTTGATTACTGTGTGTCTATCAGTGCACAGCACCAGCATCCATCCAGTTGACCATGCCAGAAATCTTCAGGACATCCTTGAGTCCTGTCTTTCTCTCCTATCATACATGCAGTCTATTGCCAAGTCTAAACTGCCATCTTCTCTTGCTGAGGTCACTGTAACAGCCTCCCAACAGTTCTTTCTGTCCATGTCTGTATCTTTTCCCTATCAGTCCATTACTTACATGATAATTGAAGCAAGATTTCTTTCTATTTTTTTCCTTTTCTTTTGTGGTACTAGGATTTGAACTCAGGGCCTCACACTTGCTAGGCAGGTGCTCTGCCACTTGAGCCACTCTGCCAGTTCTTTTTTTTTTTCTCTTTTTGAAGCCAAGATCTCACCAGGAAACCTCCCAAGTGCTGGGAGTACAGGTATGCACCATCATGTGTCATGAAACAAATTTCTAAACTACTAATTTGGAGGCTGCAGAGAGGCTTAAGTGGTAGAATGCCTGCCTAGCAAGTGTGAGGCCCTGTATTCAAACCTCAATACCACCAAAACAAAAAAAAACCAATCTGATTACTTCTGTCCTCCATTCAAGGTCTTTTAGTGTTTTCCTGCTGCCCTTAGGTTGAAGTAAATAATCCATGGTCATGACCCTGCTCATCTTCCCATTTTTGCATCTTTCCGCTTTTCTAGTTACAAGGCTACATTCCAGCCACTCTGAATATCTTCCAACCCCACTCTCCTTTCTCTACTGCTGGATCTTTATATATGCTGTTCTCTGGCCAACAGTTGATTGGGAGATTTTATCATTTTTTTAAAAAGTGAAATAGCTGAAAGCAAAACAATCTAAGGGTACCATTTTGTAATGTAATGCCTCAATCCTGTCTTAGAGGTATTTGTGTTTTCCTTTTCTTTTCTTCCTTTTCTTTTTTTATTTATTTCCAGTGCTGGGGATTGAACTCAGGGCCTTGCATATGCTAGGCAAGCACTATACTACTGAGCCATACCCACAACCCTACTGGTATATATTTTGACCGGGACGTAAATGGTTACAAAGAAACCCCAGCACAACTTTATGCAGTCTTATCTCAATATCTGACCCTTCTTATATAATACCATAACCTATAAAATCAATATGATTGAGTGGGAAGGGACAGGGTTAATAACTTACCTACTTTGCTGCTTTAACTTCCCATATTTTTTTTAATCTTGGAATTTTATGGATGTTTAGGCACCAAAAATACATTCAGATTAATTCCTTTGTATTCTGTGTCAGTAGACCAGATGAATGTAAGCATTATAAAACTCTTTCATATCTTCAAGGGGAAAGACTATAAACATTGTGATACAGTGCAGCAATAAGGGAATGCAGCCTCTCGGGGAGTGGTCCAGGCTTATGAGATAAGGAAATACAAGAAGCTGTAGGCCTCAAACTTGTAAGGCTTAAACTTATGCTGGGCACCAGTGGCTGATGCCTGTAATCCTAGCTATTCAGGAGGCAGAGATCAGGAGGACCACGGTTCAAAGTCAGCCCAGGCAAATAGTTCCCAAGACCCTATTTTGGAAAAACCCATCACAAACAGGGGCTGGTGGAGTGGTTCAAGGTATAGACCCTGAATTCAAACTCCAGTACCACAAAACAAAAAACAAAAAACATCTCCTTAATGTACTGTTTCTCTAGAATCTCAGATTTTAGTGCAGAGCACAAAGTCTGTTTACATTCTATGCGAATAACTCCTGCCATGCTTGCTAGTTGAATTTCTACTTGGTCTCCTCCATTAAGCAGCTCTTCCAGAGGAAACCCATTCCTTTTAGAACAGCTCTGCTCCTTCTGTAGCATTTTCCTTTGGTTAAACTAAAGCTTGTTCCTTTGAACTTTCATGTACTTACTCTAGTTCTGTTCACGTCCATCAGGGGGGTAGAGTAGGAAGAACATAATCTTTCCTTTTTACTTAGTTGTGCTTTCTGGTTTGAAAAAGCTCCATTCAAGTCAATGAGCTAAGTCATCTGTATGGTTTTTAGCACGTCACTTGGCACATAGGAGCTATTCAGTAAATGGTAACTATTTTTAAGCCAGGAAGATGGAATTATTTATTATATGATTAACTCTTTGCTAGCTGAATATTTGATGTTTTGATAATTTCCACCAGACATTTTCTGAGCATCTATTTTGTGTCAGATACTATATTAGGTCTGGAAAGATAAGGTCTTGGATCTCAGTAGACTCACCTTTTAGCTGGTAAGACAGAAATTACATGTTAACAGAATAAGTAGCACATTTTGTATAATACATCAAATATAATTGTTATCTGAAAAGATAATGAATATCGTAAACAAAGAAATTCGGGGGCTGATTGGTCCTGAGCAGAACAAAGTCTACCTCAAAAACTAGTTGTTCACGTTTTCCTTCTCCATAGCATTTATCCCTGCTGTATTTGTGGAACCAGAGGCTTTCCCTGCATATTTTCTTTCTTTCTTTTTTTTTTTTTTTTGATTCTGCAGGAGTAGGGGATTATGCCTTAGTTTCTTGCAGTTGCAGTCTGGGGGCTGAAGGTTCCTGCAGTTGTTTATAGAAATGTTTGAGTAGGCAGTCTCTCTGCTGTTTGTTATCTCCTAGCATCACACTCTGTACTGTGGATTTTTACTTGCATCAGCAGTCTAGAATGTGGCAACTTCAGTGCTGAAGCATAAATCTAGCATCATAGTGTGGGGACAAGCTGATTAGAGCTCAGATTGTTCTCTGTGTAGCCTTTATAGTCTGTTTATTTTTCTGGTTTGCTCATGTTATCTCAGGTTAGAAAAGAGTGAGACCTTTGGTGTCCTCAGTTGCAATTGCAAGTTCCTAAGCAAAATTTTCACATAGGATATTCTTGTTTTATGTACACAGCAAAATAAACCAATTGGCAAATAAAATAGAGGGGCTGTCTCTTTACTGAATTTATTCTCAAAGTGAGGATTGCTTGGACAACTAGATTAGCCAGGGTCTTTCCACTGAGAGTATATAATATGATTTGACCTGGCTTAAGAAAAAAATGGGACTTTATTGACCTAGAAACTAAAAAATCCACAGAAGAGCTAACTTTAGATATGGCTGGATTAGTGTCATTAGGAGTCGGTCACTTCTGTCTTTTGGCTCTGTTTGCATCCATGTTGTCTTTACTTTCTGGGCCCACATCACAGCCCATGGCATCTCTGGCTTCTCCAACATCTTTACTGCTAGCAGTTCCAGCAGAAAAGAGCAAATCTGTTTTCTAACATTTCCAACAAAATCCTGATCCTAGAACTCATTGACCCAAGTGGCCATCCCCAAATTAATCGCTTATGGCCAGGGACATGGAATAGGTTGACTGATATAGACCCATTCTGACCCATTCTCTGCGACCAGGAAGGAAGGACATACTGATTGACAGACCGGGTCATATGCTCACTTCTGCAGCCCTACTGAAACCACTGAACTGGGGGGAGGAGGGTAGGAGTGATCCACCACCAGAAAAACACTTGTTCTAGAACAAGGGGGAATGGATAACAGAGAGTCAAAAATCAAACTCACCTGTGCTGTCAGTCATTTCTGAATCCTATACAAATAGGTCTTTTGAAGTCATGGCTTTGTCAGTGCTGATTTTCTGATTTTTCTGGTGGCATCTAGGGAATTCTTATCTATGTGGGTACCTGAGATATAACTTCATTGATCATAATGAAGACTTTCTGGTCCTCCACCATAACATTCTATGATAATTAAAGGGAACAGGATCAAGGAACTGTCTTTGGGTATCCTTTTCCAGCTTGATCATGATCAGTACTTTTGGGAAGGTCAAGATTAATTCGCTGAAAATAATTCACATTAAATTGACCTCATTTCCTTTTTTACCTGGGTAGCATGACATCTGTAAGATTATGATCAAGATAGTGGATATGCATTTCACCAAGGCTTTCGACAGTCATGATATTCTTGAGGATAGGCTGAAGAAATTGGCCATGGATTGTAAGAAATTAGAAAATACTTATTGAGCACCTAATCTGAGAGAGGTGTGATGGGGCCACAGCAGGGACCAGCGTGGACTGGTCCCCACTGTTGTGCAGTTAACTAGTTTGTTGTCCTCATAGAGGCAGGTTTGTGCTTGCACCTCACAGGCTTTCTCCCTTGTGATGCCCTGTTTAGCTTTTCATTGAACAATGAATTGTCACACTGTTCCATAATTTCAACCTGTGTAAATCTTTCTTATCATTCTTCATTTTTCACATTTCTGCTAATAGCCAGTTTGTGAACATAGTGTTATTCTCCCCTTTCCTACCTTCTAGTTAATAAGTATTGCCAGATTTTTCTTCGTGATACATTTATCACCTGTCCATCTCTAATTACAGCAATCCTTTATCTACAATTTTGGTTCTTCATATTTGTTCCATTGTGTTGGAATTGATAATCCTCTGGTACCAAAAACAGACACACAAGAGACAGAAAATCTTGACAAGGCAATTTCTTTTGATCAAGAGGGTGCAAGCTTGTGCTCACTCCTGCTAAGCAAACATGCAAGCACCAAATGGCTGACAGTGGGTCCTCCTTATTTCCCTGACGCAGTCGTACTTGCCTCTCGTGGGATTTGTCCAGGTCAGAGGTTCACAA